CTCCTGCCTTTCCTCTTCTCTCTCTGTCTACGACTCCTGCCACCTTCTCTCCTTCTTTGACCAACAGTAGTCCAATTTCCGCCAGCACCCTGTAGGTCAACAGCACTGGTGGCGGTCGTTGTTAACCCGGGCCTCAACCAATCCGGTATGGAATTTGCACTGATGATTTGCATGTTTAAATTTGGCATGTTTTTATGCCGGATGCCCTTCCTGACACAACCCTCTCTATTTATCCGGGCTTGGGACCAGCACAGAAGACACTGGCTTGCAACCCCTATGGCTAGATTGGGAGATCTTTTCTCCTAATTATGAGACAATGCAGGGGTTGGAAGGCTGCAGAACATGCCTTTAAACCATCAGGTGTAGCATCAAGTAATTCAATGATAATGATAGTTGAACTATTCACAGCTAATCAAGTAGGGGTGTGACAAGATCCTTTTATTAAAATGTGATAGTTTCTCATTGAGCCAAAAGCTGTTTTGCGATATTACACAACAGAACCAGAGCGGAGTGTGATGGCAAAGTGGCATACGTTTAAAGTAGTACGGAAAAAAACGCAACTCCCGGCTGTGTTTTAACGCACAGGGCTACATTGTGACAAGTCGACTTGATTGGCTTCATTCCCGTTTCCAGCCTGTGATTTTCCTTTGTGTTTTGGTTAGTAATGCTGCTCACGTAGCCTACTCTACCTTAGCACCAATTCTACCACCAGTGTGTCGGCTTTGATAGCTAAAAAAAAAACTGCTTGACATCCAGTATTAATGAAAATGCATGGTGTGTTGTTATGCTGCGTTAACTGTGGCCCAAATTTGACAGTGAATGACAGTAAACGCTCATGCTAGCAAAGTAAACAAAAGTCTTCTTCTGGTGGGCGTCCACGTCCCCAACTGTCCCCTGTACCTGATTGGTCAACGCAGCGCCTTTGGCCAGATGATGTCTCCATCTGGTGTGGTACACTGAGGGTGAAAATAGCTTCACTTAGAAGTTAGAAGCTTGTGCAGAGTTATAAGGTTTGATTTGATTTGATTTATTCTTTCAAGCATGTAAAGACCGTTGATATGTCAACACACATAATTTTACACATATCCAACAAATGCTAATCCAATATCAATTTGCTTATACCTAGTACATGCTTGAATGGAGTAGGAAGAAGTCAGACTTATTGTTAACATTCTTACATAATTACATTCTTAAATAATTATCTTCTACACCACACAAGTAATATACTAAAGAATTATTACAAAGTGTTAACATTCATACACCACACCCACAATGTTCCATCTAATTAATCATTAAACCTGTTCTTACATATATCTTGATTGACACATACCTTTATATTTATGTTTAAAGTCGTCAATTCTCTTACTGTTTTTTATGTTCACACTTAAATTATTCCATAGTTTTACCCCACTTATGGAAATACAAAATCTTTTTTTGGTTGTACGTATAGCATGAATTTTTAAATTTAAGGTCTGAAGAGATTCGTGAAATCAAAAGGGGAGAGAAGCCAGGCAGTTGAGTTTGTGGCAAAACCTTTTACATTGCCTGCATAGTGTTGTTTTACGCAGAAAGTAGAACTGAAGTGACTTTCATTACCAGTTGATTAGTTGCAATGCACCTGCAGTGTTTTGCATTTTGTGACTTTCAGTTGAATAAAAGGCTTTTTCCAGCCATATATTTCTTCAGTGAAGATTACCTAAAAATAGTGTTAAAATATCTCGTCTCGTGAGCTTAGTGTATCATCACACCCCTGTTAAACACTAATTACATAGTGTTTCAAAACCTAAACACACATAGGCTAAAAATGGGCCTCAAAGTTGCTGCCTAAAGTGCAACTCACTCTATCCAACAGTAAATAGCAAAAATGAATTGTTAATAGTTAATCACATTAATATGGAAGAAATCTTAAGAATCCAATGTTTACCAAGCACATTCTGAAGCCTTTCAACTCTTGCTCATTATATGTATATCGTGAGTTACACTGTAGGCAGCAAAATTTAGACCCATTTGTAATCTATATTCATTTATGTTTTGAAACGATAAATATGCCGAATTAGAAATTAACAGTTCACTTTTGCTATTCACTATTGGATGTACTGACAACTACCACTGAATTACTTTGATACTCAAGAGTTCGTTAAAACCCGATGATCTTCAGGCACGTTCTGCAGTGTTCCAATCCCTACATTATCTCATAATTATGAGAAAATATCTTGTAATAATGGATCTTTTCTTGTAAGTCATAATTTCTGAGTGCTACTTACTGCTTATTATCAGGTGGCTAAATCAACAAGACGTATATCTTGGTCAGTGGAGGAGATTTTCATTAATCAGGTTGTTGTATAAAAACAAACAAAATGGAACTAAAATTACCCTGTGATGAAACGTATTCCATGTTTTGTAAAATAAAAGCTAAACCACAATGTAAAGACAGACAACTGAGCAAATGAACACTGGTGTGGTGTGGAACTGTGTAGAGGTGCACGATGCCACCCTTTTTCAGATCGAGTACAAGTATTGAGTTTGAGTACTCGCTGATATCGAGTACCAATAAAAGTACAGTATTATTACTACAAAAATTACTATGGCCATAAAAAACTTGAAATTTGAAACTGATAAACAGCAGTGCCACCATTCCTATCAAATATAACAAAGTGTGTAGCCTACTAGAGAACGTACTGTAATACAGTCATTTTTAACCTTTGTAGGAGTGCAACTCTCTGTTGGGACAAAATTATTTCACAACCCCGGCCCAGAATGGCTCAGCCAGTGTGAGGTTAATGTATTGCTGCCGTTAAGCGGCATCAGACAACTTCTACATGTAGTGAGAACAGTACTAGAGGGCATCCCAAGAACTGTGACATGGTGGTAGTCATCTCATGCACCTAAAGTACTTTACTGACCGTGTTGCTGTTGTGTGTTCACAGGTGTGACGGCTGCGGTGCCGTTTTCCACGCAGAGTGTCGACAGAAAGCTCAGCCGTGTCCTCGCTGTGTTCTCCGAGAGCTCCACCACAAGAGGCCGTCCTCCTTCTGGTCGCCTGATGACGACAGCCCCGGGTGCTTTCATCTGCCCTACCAAGACACCTGAGACACACACAAACAGTAGCAGTTGCATTGGCAGGCCATGATGTTGGACAAAGTGATTTGTGTTTAAACTCTGTGAGGATGAGCTCAAAGCATGTGATGCATCTTCAGTTTTGTGTTTACCTGCTAAAACACACACCTGTGCTGAGCCATCTTTGTCCTCCTGCAAAGAGTAGGAAGAGAACAACTGAAGAACTGATGCACCAGGCTTTATGGACTGATTTTGTAGTCGTACATCCTCATATGAAGTCGTCATCCGCCATCTTCACCTCTGCACCACATCACTACCTTCACTTGTTTCTTATTCCAAGCTGATACACAGAGAAATTCAGAACTGATTGAAACATTTTGGTGGCTTGTCCTAGCCAACGTCTTCCACCTGCTTGAGTTTAGTGAATGATTAATCAGGAATGAGCAGTTTTAGCAATTGATTGTTCATGAAAAAGGCTAAATACTCTCTGGTTCCAGCTTCTCACATGTGAAGGTTTGCTGTTTTGTGTTTGGTTTGAACAGTTGGTCAAATAAAAATAATAATAATAATAATAATAAGCAAATGAAAAATGTCACCTTGGCTTCTGGTGACACGTGAAGTTTTTTCGTCTTAATTCTTCATTTAGTCTGCGACTGATTTAATCAGTAATGAACAGGATTAGTTGCCGCCTGACTCCTGTTAACGCGATAGAAATGTGGCTGGAAAACACTTTGTAGTTAGATTTTTTACAGAGTAGCAGCTGTTGCCAACTTCATGTCAGTTACGACGGAATCATAAGCCCCTTCTCCACCATCCGGTATCGGCTCAACTCGCCTTATTTCATTTTCCATCAGTCAAAGGTTGGGGATAGTACCTGGTACTATTATTTTGTTGCATTGCCTCAGTTGAGGTTCCAAGTGAGCTGCAGTGATACCAAACGGTGATGTGTAAACACAGACGACTACCAATTGGTCAGAGAAGCTCATCATTACTACGCAGTGATCTTGCCGGGATGTTTACATGCGATGACGTCAGTCGCTTGTTGTTCATTCATTTATAACAGTAGCTGCTGCTTCTTTCTCACAAGTGCTAAAGTTTAAGGTGACAGAGGCCTCGAGCCACTGTTACTATATAATATAACTGTTATACTACATGAATCACCACAGCAGAGTACGAGCACAATGGCTACAGCTATGCCTGCTAAGTAGCTCTGCCTAGCTGGCACATTAGCGGGTCACCACATCTCCAAAAACGTTGGAGCAAATTTGTAATTGGTAGTGCCTGGATAGATTGACCACATATTTGAAAACTAAATGGTCATCGTCTCGCTTGAAAAACCATCATAACAGTACTAGGATGGAAATTATAATGGCTTTGACCATCTGTGGTAGAAAACAAAGCACCTGGTACCAAATGTGAATAGGGTTGAGCCGAGTTGAGCCAGTACTAGCTGGTGGAAAAGAGGTTATGCATTAACCATGGTGGGGTTACAAAGAAAAAAAAAGCATTGGAACATCAGGAGAAACTTATCAAATCACTTCTGCAGCACAATCTACTACTTGTCTGTCCATGTGTGCACCTGCTGTGTCCCCAGCACACTGTTATATTTGTATTAATGTTAAAAATAAATAAATAACTAATCTCATAGCATCTCACGTCTAGAGTGCTTCAGGTTTATCACACATGAGAACACTGCATAGAGCTTAGGCTACTTTACAGCCTGTCACATTAGCAAGTGTTGGTTAGGATCATTTCTTTGAGACATCACCTTGGCGGTTTTAGTTAAATCCAGTTTAATCGTTATTTCTTATTTACAGGTCATTATTCCAGACTACACACTGCAGCAGTGTGTTTAGTCACATCAGATCATTTAACACACACAGATCAACCATGGCACAGTGGATTATGCTGCATGGACGGTCCATCACTTCCTGTGGACATGTGATCATTTTTCCCAACTTGACACTATTGAAATCTATTGTAACTGACAATGTCCGAACTGACCACAGCTGCTGCCGTTTTACATTATAGTCTTCAATGGGGGCATATGATAACATTTGGGGTTCACTTAGTAACTGAAGCCATTAGACTAGAATATTTTACCAAATAATAAAAAGTGAAATCCTAGCTGTGACTGAAGTATAAACATCTTTTCATCTCATTCTCCATTTCCTTAAACTGAGTTATTGAACTTGTAGATGCATAATCCAAGATGTTTTAACTCAATGAATTCACTCATTCTCTCAGTGATCATTCTATGTAAATGTCAACAGACTTTAATTCAAGAAGACTGAGCACAATTCCTTCCCTCTATCAGTCTAACTGTAAAATAACAGGCAATAATAATAATAATCTGTAACCTGGTCGTTCATTGTTGCCTTTCCCTCCTCCCTTCCTTTGTGATTCTACTTCCTCTTGTGCTTTATTCATGCAGACTCTATCAAACATGATAGCAGCTTTAGCTTTTAGTATCTCTATGCAACCTAGATGGCCTTTATAACCCACTGCTTTCATGTAAAGGTCTGGAGTTGTTTTTACGTTTTATTGCAACAGCTGTGTTTCCATCCAGGTTTAAAGTGTTTCTGTTTTTTCAGTCTAAAATGAAAAATATTTTGGAGAAGAAGAAACTAAATTCCACCCCCATTTAAAGCTGCACTCCCTGATTTTTATTACAGAGATGTTATTTTAAGTTCAAAATGCTGTAACCTGTGATCATTTGGATGGAGATGTAGCTGCTGCTTCGTCCTGTGACGCGTTTTCTTTTCTGATAAGCTGGTCTCATTTTAGTTCCAGTGTTAAATCCTTGCTGTTCTTTTGTTAAATCTTTTTGAGCCATAGGAACATGTCGACTTTAAAGGGAATCTATGTGCAAATAATCTGCTGTAATCAGCACTTGACTGATAAACCTCTGGAATATGTATTTTTGTGAAAAGCAGAGATCGGACTGATGGTTATTTATGTTTATAAAGCACATAGGACACTGTAGACAAGCTAAATACCCCAGTTTAGTTCAAATTATGGCAGGATGACAAGTGTTGCATTCATTTAGTTTTTACTTGAAGGCTAAACCTGCAGCCATGCTAGGTGATGCTCAGTGTTTAAGTTATTGTGGACTGTCTGTGCCTGCTGCATGAAAAACTAGTGAACATTTTGACTGAAGTTCTTTAGTTTTTTCATGCTATTCATTTGTGCCCTACGGAGGCCAACAGGTGCCGGGGACTGGTACTGCTAAACCTAAACCTAAACCTAGACCCAGACTGTGACTTGAACCTACTAGGGATGTGACGATATTTGTAATTTTGTGATGTTGTGATAGGAAAAAAAAATGTCTCCGCCATCATGGGACTGTGACAAAATCTACCGGGACATTGCATATGGTTAGCTCGCTAGTACAGCTACGTTCAGGGCACAGAATTTCAAATTGACATACAATAGCGAATTTTAGTGCTGTTGTGTGGCAGCGTTTCAGTTGTACTCTTTTGAGAAATGACACAGAACTATTTAGAAATACTGCCAGATGGGGGTCAGCCAAAATACTAGTGCTGTTCGGGACTGAGACAAACGAGGTGCATTTAACCAGAAACTGTCGAGATGGCTGTGCATTATACTTTAATGGAGATGGCCAAACAAACCACATATGGCAAACCAATCACTTATTAACCGACTATAAAGTCTTTTGTCTTGAAAAAGTAGACCACAGTGTTTGAAAATATTATCATATCGTGGACTTTTTATGGTGGTAATATGCTACTGTGAGCTTCTGGTGTCTTTCCATCCCTGACAATTTAATGTTAACAAACCGAAAAACAAACCCCGAAACGGCTCCAAGCTGATGGGGTCCTGGTAACGTACTATCAGTGATTATCAATGGAAGTGTAAACTTATAGAAATGTTTTTACATGGTACAATGTAAACTACGTTAAAGGGAGTTTAAAAGAGAAAACCTGAATCATGGTTGTCACTTTGTTGGATCTATTCTAACAAGGCTGCCGAAGCTTTACGAATGCAATAAGATCAAATTAGTGGATGTCAGGCTAATGCTCAGGTTCAAAGGGCACAGAAAACTGGAGGAAGCTGAACATACGGTGCTCAAACTGTCTGGGACAAATAGTTCCTGTCGCTACACGAACCTGATGCTTATACTGCACAGAACATTAATGAACCTCTGTCCCTGTTGGCTTCTGTAGTTTTCCTCCATGCTACTGTGGCTAACTGATCACTTACATCTTTATGAATTTGCTTGTTTTATGCAGAATGTTCATTCATATAAAGTGTATTTTTAAACGGGTCTTTCTATATTGTTCCATTTTCATTTCTTCTAAACATAAATATGATCTAAGAATCTAACGTATGATGTGTTTTGTTAGGTATTTTTCAAAGCTTTGTTCCGTTATCTTTCCTCTCTAGTGACAACACCCAGTTTTGAGAAAGTTGAAATCTGAAGATTAACGCACTGATCTGTGTTTACAGCTTGTAAGAATACGCAGCTGTTCTTTATGTTGCAGGCACATTATGTATTAATATGTTTGGAGGAGACCATATTGTACAGTATTTAAGCAGCGTATCTTTTGCACTTTATCATTTAAACAATTATTGTTTCTTTTGATCACAGCCAAACTCTTAGTGAGAGCAGGGAGTTGATTTTGTTGTTTTGTTTTTAAATCAGCCCTTCCTCCTGCCTGGTTTTGTTCAAATGTGACCACTAGCCACTGATGCCAATAAAGACAAACCTCGTAAGCATCTAAGTGTTTGAATCCTGTATGGTGAGATGTTCACGTCATTTGGCTGAAGATAGGTGACAACAGAACATTTCTATAAACAGTTATTTTACCTTTTTGCTAAACAAGAGTCAGGGACAGAATCTTACACAGTGAGTGAGTGGGTTCAAGTAACATAGTTACCTGTTAGTAATGCAGAGAAAAGCTGCTCCGTCTGATAAAACATGCAGAAAAGCTTGGGATGGCTTTATTCATTGGACTTTAGACACCGTCAGAACTCGTAGAACACGCCATAAACTTGGGCCGCATGAGGTTCAACTGTCACTTCCCTGGGATCTTTAAATCTTTTGTTTGATGTACAGACATTCATGGTCCCCAGAGGATGAATCATAAGGACACTGGCCATCTTTTGAGTGGAGTGAAATATCTGAACAACTTGAACAGAAGCTGGGACATACTGTACATTAAACGTTCAGGATGAACATGAATCACTGTGGTGATCCACTTTTCATACAGCACCATCAAAACTCCTCCAGTACTTTAATGTTACTGTCCAAGAATCTGCAAAGCCGATGCCACCAGACTCAGCAAGTCTTTGCCCAAACTTAAACCAAAATCTAACAATATATTAGTCACAGGAATTGGTTTGATTGTTACTTTAAGTACATTTGGTTTTATTTAGATAATGAGTGTCGAGTTTCTAATGGAGAACTTTTACATCTTTATCACATCACTTGATTTTCCTCAGCATTGATTTTCTAATTATCATGAAATTTTAGTGCATGTTAACATTTTTCTGAGCACAAGAAGCTCTCATAAAACCCACGACGAAAATGTTAACCTCTACAGCTTCATGACAGCTGGATAAATTCTGCAACGTGATTCAAAGTGCCTCTTAATGGACCTTGTAGCGAGATTGTCGTGTCAACTATTGGTTTCAAGGTCAAGAAGGAACTTCGAAATGAGCTCAGGCTCAGACTGAGCTGAGAAAACAGGTTCAAGTGAAGGAAGGTACATGAAAACCTGCCTCAGTGAATGTGCATTGCCTGAGAGAGCAGGGAACTCAGAGGCCCGTGATGTATGTCGAGCAGCAGGCAAATCGAAGCTGAGTGTTGACCGCGCTTAATTGTCATCGCCAATTAGTGCATTGTGGGACGCCCACAATGGATCAACTGTAGCGAGTAGAACGAAGTCCTTTGTGCTTCTCCAGTGGCCCGCAGACCAGTCAAGACTCATTTAGGGCCTGAACAACGACGGAGCAGAAATGCCAACGAAAATGAAAACAAAAGACATTTTAAAGAGAAAATGAAGATGGGGGAAAGAAAAGGAGAGGTGGGGGTGGACAACGGTCACAGAGGAGGGAAGGACCGGGCCTCTGCTCTCTCAACATGAGAGCAAAGTGTATGGCTTTGACACACACACAGCTCCCCCTCCGACATTTAGCGAGCTGCTACACAAAAGCTGGCAGAGCCCCAGTGTTCCCAGTGACCTGGTTGTTGAGGCTCGTTTGGCCATGTCGAAGATTTCACCAGGTTTGAGCCGAGCAGATTGTCTGCATGTTTTCATTAGTGTTACAGGGTAGATCCAATCTTTTTCTACTCAAATCCTGTTTAGGTGTTTGTTTATTGACCATAATTAACTATTAAGTGCATCAACAAGCTTCAACACCAACCAAACCAGGAACCACTGAAGCCTGCAAAAGCCAGGACTAGTTTTTTTTATTCACTCTTAAGGCCACTAAATTATTTCTCTAGCTGCCAACCAAACTCATTTTCTACTCATTTTACATTCATCTAACTGTAGGTCTATAAAACAACTCCCTACGTGGTCTCATTGTTGTTTTAAAGCTTTCTCTACACGGCACATCTGCAGTGTTTAAGCTTTCAATTATTTAGGTTTATAAACAGTAAGATAATATGAAAATGTGTGTAATCATAGAACGTAATCTCCTCATGTCATGAAATCCTTAAAGAAATATCTGTCCTCAGTGGTGTCATGTTCATCTGACTGATATAAACTGAATCCGACAAAAATTTGATTAAACTCTCAGAAAATTAATCTGCATGTGTCAATCACATTCTATCTCCCACCTACAGACAGACAACCACTCACTCACTCCCACCTACAGACAGACAACCACTCACTCACTCTCCCACCTACAGACAGACAACCACTCACTCACTCTCCCACCTACAGACAGACAACCACTCACTCACTCTCCCACCTACAGACATACAACCACTCACTCACTCTCCCACCTACAGACATACAACCACTCACTCACTCTCCCACCTACAGACATACAACCACCTACAGACAGACAACCGCTCTCACTCTCCCACCTACAGACATACAACCACTCACTCACTCTCCCACCTACAGACATTTTCTACACATTTTGAAAAGAAAGTAGAAACTCAGGATGAGCCTCACCTGCATGTTCCCAACAGTTGTAGGATGTAGTGAATGTCTGTGATTGTCGCTCGTTTTCCAAGCCAAGGATCTGACGTTCATATCAAGTTCACCTCAGTCTAGAGCTTCTTTTTAGCCTGAATCTAAAGAAACTGAACTTTTGTATTTCAGTGGCCGTGTGTATAGAAGTTTAACAGTGCTGGAATTTCCAAAGAATATTCATAGTGAGTGTCCTGAAGTGACGATTTTAAAAAAGATCTCAATTTTAAAAGTTCATTTATAGTGATTTTTTTCACCCTACTCAGAATTAGGTCGCTTTAATGTATTTTTGTGTTTACCTTTGGCCAAAAATAATCAGTTAGCTAAATGAATATTTTCCTTTACTTTGCAAACACTAAATAAACAAAAAACCCCACTCCACAGTCTTCCACAGATTTCCATCCTAATTAACTACCGAAAACTGTATTTAAAAAAAAATAATTTAAAAAATCTGCAGATTCCGTTTGGTCCTGGTCAGTCACTCTAACGTGAATGTTTGTGGACCGAGGGAGGAACCCGGAGCACCTGGAGAAAACCCAGACAACACGGGGAAAACATGCTCTACACAGAAAGACATGTTACCCTTCAAACCAGTGCATAAACACTGCAGCTCTCACACTTATGGCAGCAGCAAACTAACCAGAAAGAACTTTGAACTTTGATAAGACATTTAAATATTCAGTACCACAGCTTTTTAAACTGGTACATTTCTACAACATTCATTCATGTAACTCATGACATCTACTCACTAGATGCTCACTAAAGAAATCAGTCTGTATCACAGTAGCTCAGAGTGACAGGAATGGTTTCCACTAACCTCTTCAATCACTGGTAACTAAACAGAGTGACAGCTTCTTAAAAACAGAAGACAAAAACAAGAAAGCATCACTAAAACTAACAAATCAAATCATTAAAATTTGTCTAAACTAAAGTATGTGTTTGCTAAAAGACTAAATCAGAAGCCAAAATGTGAAACTGACCTCTGGTAGGTGTGAAAGGTGGCTCTGAAACGTTTGGAGTCTTCCTCCCTTGAGGACGACAGCGGCTGTAGGCTTGGGTTCACAGCTGTTACAGTGGATTCTGACAGACACTGAAAGAAAAAAGAAAACCAAAACATTCATGAAAATTTCTCGTACCACAGAGCCAGAAAACCACCTTCTTCATCATGAGCCTTTAAGTTCAGTACATTTCAAACACTTCAGTGTGGCACTTCCGCCGTAACGTTCGGGTTTATGAAGCTCAAAACGTTTCAGTTTTTGGTGAAATTGTCATAAATGTATACATTTTTTTTTTTTTTATTGCAACACAAAATAAAACATTTACAGGACAAAGGACGTAACATAGTAAATGAGACAACAGACATTAACAAAGGAGACAAAGGGACTATTAAATGATTGTGTGTAGTGTATCCACCGTACTTAG